AGATGGATAGATAGATAGATAGATGGATGGATAGATAGATAGATAGATAGATAGATAGATAGATAGATAGATAGATAGATAGATAGATAGATAGATAGATAGATAGATAGATAAATAGATGGATGGATGGATGGATGGATGGATGGATGGATACACACATAACAGACAATTATTAATTAAAAAGAAAAAAATACTAATTAAAGCACAGGCATATCAACTATAACAATTACAAGTAATATCCATTAAACAGCCTCAACTCTCATTTAATCCGGCAGCAAAACCATCGACCACCTTCATAAAATCCGACTCTGATCAGATCCATGTCTGACTTCTGCTCTCGGAGCCACAGGCAGCTGTTCTCACAGGGACGAGGAACATTTCTCACCCGTCGCTTCTGTGATTTGTCAGAAAAACAACTTTTTTATGTTGATCTCCTCATTAACTCATGTTTCGAGTCGCGCATCGCCTCTGACGGATGTCGCTTGGAAACAAATCTATAACAAACAGAAAGTGAAACGGATGATGGCAGTATATGGCTGCCGTTTTTATAGATGTGAAGTCATTGTTCTTTTACAGTCGGGGGGATTTGTCTTCATGACCACTGCACACTGACTGTACACGCTCTGTCTTGCATTGTTGAATTATACAGTTTTGAACAAATATTGCCTCACTCGCCGGTGAGGTGCAGAATCTAGAAACAGTTTCTGTCTGAGACTCTTTGGAGAAGTTTGAAATGAGAGTTTCTCTGCTTTTGTTATCTATTGATTTTATTCTCTCTTCATTGAGCTTCTTTTCAGGGTCAAAATAAAAGTTTTATACATTGAGAACATTGCAGTTGTTGTTGTGTACCAGCATAACACCAGTGCTTAACCTTTGTGATGTGATTGTTTGAGACGTTCTGTAGATGAATTATGGACCCGTGTGATAATAGTTCCACCTGTGTTTTGCCTGTTGAGATGATGATTGATTAATGCGTTAGTGAAAAAAAGAAAACCACAGCTAGAGTTGATATTGTTTGTTTCTGTCTTTAGGGAAGTACGGCCGTCACAGCAGCCTGCCGTTCCTCAGACCTCCTCTCACCACAGCTCTGCTCACCCTGGGAAAAGCACACCAGGTCACAACCATATCAGCGTCCGTGGGAGAATATATCCTTTGTGTGTGTGTTAGTGAGTTTGTTACACTGACATATTGTTTTTCTCCTTCACTTTGCAGAACGCCATGCTCGGTAATGGACTCGTCCTTCAGAACCTCCTGCACATGCAGCTCGCACAGCAACAGCTTCTTCACATCAAAGACAAACGCATCAGTAGCGTAAGACACGTGTGTGTGTGATGAATCTCATCGCTTTGTGGCCAATGTTGAAAAGAAAAGCCTGAGATTTCGTTAATAATGACTTGATATTCTGGCAATAAAGTTGTAATATTATGAAATGGAGTATTTATTTATATCCTCCTACTTTTTCCCACTTTCCCTTTGTTCTTTCATATTTTCTTTCTTATTTTCCTTCTCTCTGTCCTTAATGCTCTTCATCCTACTCTTCTTCCTCCCCCTCAGGTCTCCAGTCTGCTCGGGGACCCGTCCAGGCTGCTGATGCAGAAAGCTTTGTCTCTGCGGCCTCCAGGCCTCGTGCCACTGGGGAAAGGCCTCCTGGGAGACTCGCCTACAGGTAAGCAGGGCCGAGCATCAGAGATCTGCCTCGTGCTGCATTTATCACATTTAATCGAATCTGTATTTAGGAAAACTTGGAACATTTCTCTTTGCTGAACCTTTGACCAGATCTTGCACTTGCCTGCATCGTTATATTTTGTATCACTTTTTATTTTTGGCCTTTCTGCCTTTTTTTGGATGTATAAAATAATGAAGTTGATCATTTGTATTATTTATATAGTATTATTATTAGTATATTATTGTTTATATGGTACAACTGTGTTGTCAACCACTCAAAGTGCTTTATCCAGTATAAGCCACATTCACCCATTCACTCATTCAGGCGTCAGGGGCAAGTTTAGGTTCAGCATTTTGCCCAAGGACACTTTGACACGCTGTCTGGAGGAGCTGGGGATCGAACTACCGACCTTCTGCTCAGTGGACAAACCTTTGTTTCCCCTGAGCCACAGATTTATATATCACATTTCTGCCTTACCATTTATAGAGATGTTCAGTACATCTGAAAACAATGTTGTCAGCTCTGCTTCGATTTTCATAATTAATAATGTGAATATTTTTGCAAATGGTTGAATGTGTAGTGTAAAGTTCTTTGAATGCTCAATAACATATGAAAAGCTGTTTATATATAAATCCATATACATGCAGTCCATTTAAGTATTTTTGCCGTCATTAAATGACGTATAGTGACAGTATTTGAATGTAATATGTAGATGTCAGGTGTCTTCCTGAACGTCTCAGACTCAGTACATGTGTACGACATCCCCAGGAAACCGCTTTTACAATTCAAATCTCCAGCCGAGAGGAGCTGTGTTGTTTTAAATGGAAATCGAGTATCACAGACACAGTGTTTGCACAAACACAAGAAGTTTGCATGTTTGTGTGTGTATGTGTGTGTGTGCAGGTCTGCAGTGTGTAACGTGGTGCTTTTATCAGTGCTTGTGTCAGCTGGGATTGTTGCTTAAGGCTTGTTAGAGCTGATTGTTTTATTGTGCTGTCGGGGCCATTTTTCACAATATTGGATTTATAATGAGTGCGATTGTGTGTGTGCGTGTGCGCATCTTTAAATGGTGTATGTTTTTTTGTGTGCTTGTGTGTATGCATGTGTGTTTATTAAACCCTGGAGTGAGTTGGATATTGGGAGTGTGGAGCAAACTGTGGGGCTGTAAATAAACACGAGTGATGATGTATGGACCCATTGGTCGGGCTGAGATCGGTCTCCAGCCGTCTGAGTGATTCGTCTCTGTCCAGAGGAGACAGAGACACTGATGCTTATCTGTAAAAGACATTTCATGTTATTATCTGGCTTCTCTCTTCTCTTTCATTTCCCTTTGTCTGATTTCCTTTGCTTTGTTTCTCTCTGCTGTATTTTATGTCCGTCCTATCTTTTGATCTCTTTAACTTTATATCCATTTGTTTCTGGCTTCTCTTTTACTTCTCTGCTGTCCTCCTTTTCCTTTCCTTTCCTTTCCTTTCCTTGGTCTATTCTTGTCCTCTCCTGTTCTTTCCTCTCTTCCTTTCATTTTAATTACTTTTCTTATTTCATTTCCTTTCCTTGATATTTCCCTTTGCTTGGTCTGTGTCTTCAATTTCGTTTCTTGCTCTTTACTCTCTTCTTTTATTTTCCTTTACTTTCCCTTACTCTCCTTTTGTTTCCTTTCCTTCTATTTCCTTTTCTTTTCTTGCTATATCCTTTGCTTGGTCTTTGTCTTTCCTTTCCTTTCCTTTCCTTTCCATTCATTCCTTACCTGTTCTTCCCTTTCCTTGATATTTTCCTTTGCCCGGTCTCTGTGTTTCCTTTCCTCTAATTTCCTCTTCTTTCATTTCCTGCCCTGTCCTTTCATTTCCTCTCTTCTCTCATTTCCTTCCTTTTCCTTTCCTTTCCTTTCCTTGTCTTCTTTACCTTTTCTTCAGAGTTGAATCAGGAGTCAGTGCCACCGACAACCCACAATGCCACAGTGGTGGTATCAGCTGCGGGTATGATGCCGTACCTCCAGGGTCGAGCTGCAGCAGTAGAACAAATCGGAGCCCATTCCCTCTCCACCACCCAGTCCTCGTCCTCCTGCGAAAGACAGCCTGCTCCTCCTGGGACGATGGTGAGCTCCCAGCTGCAGGGACAGAGCTATTCCCTGGGTGTAACTAACTCGGGCCTCGGCCCCCCGCCACCTAAACCCCCTGGAGGAGTTTACACATCAACAGGCCATCACAACAGTGCAGACGGTTGCCCCCTGGCGAGCATGGTGAGCACTGCAAACACAAAAATACACAAATTCACGTGACTCTACCTCCACCTGGGTGGGCCTATTTAATTATGTGTCATGTGTCACCACGTGTCATGATCTGTCGCCACTCCAAAAAATGTATCATAAACTATTTTGACTGTTGGTCGGACAAATGGTTTTCCATTAGCAGTGTTTGAAACATTGGGTCATTGGCTTTTATTATCTGTATCCTGATTATTATTATTTTGACTTGGCTTGTTTCGTATTGTTGGTTGTAAAGAACTTTGTTACTTGTATTGATGTTATTATGGTATTGTGGTAAAAGGTCACGTACATGTTCCAGGGCAGTTAGCATCTTCACAGAAGCAGCCACACTCTGAATACCTGTCTGCTTTCATGCTCATCTACAACTCTTCAACTAGGCCTTAAATAAAATAAAGCTCTGCTAACATCATCACCCATAATAGGTCAGTGTACAGAGATAATCACGGCTCTGAAGTTCTTCTGGGAACTGATTCCGGTCCCGGCGCTGTCTTCTCTGAAGTCTCTCTAATGGAGGGAAAGTTTAATTAACAGAGAACGGCCCTTCCAGGTTTCCACAGCCTCTTCAGCACTTCATCAAAATCTTTACAACTTTAAAACCTTATGTAGAAGTCGGTACGTAGGTGTCGACGTAGCTGACAGCACCGGCACAGTTTTTTTTGCACCAGATGTTGTTCAAATCAAAGTTAAAGTGAAAGGTTTGAGTGGATACAAGAAGCTTAAGACTTTGGCTTTCAATTCCTTCCAGTAGGACTGTTCGTAACACGATGTAAATCTTTCTGTCTCTTCAGGTGAGCTGTGGTCAGAGTTCTCTGTTGGGCGATCCTCCTAAAGAGGTCCGTCTGCCCTCTAATCCTTACCTGAACCTAGCCAGTGTCATGCCAGGGGTGGTCCTGCAAGGTAAATACACAAACTCCTGCAGGTTGTTCTTCTGGCACATTTTCCCATCGTGGGACTGATGAAGTTTTATCTTATGTTCACTTAGTTTGTCTGTCCATTTGGCAAATGTATATAATTTTCTCAGTGTTGGGCATTGATGCACAGACAACTGGAATGGCACTTAATAGGGAGATCACGATCATCAAGATCCATGAATTATACCCTTTGAAAATGTCAAAAAAACTACAATTTAATACGTTCTCTCCTCACCCATGTCACATTCTTCCACCAAGTTTCGTGGTAATCCTTCCTGTAGCTTTTGTGTAATCTTGTTCACAAACAAAACAACCAACCAACAAACAAGAGGGTAATAAAACTTCTATGACTTCTCCAAACAAAAATATGTCCTTCTGTTGTCAAAAGCTCTCCCTTTAAGATTGGAAGGTGCCTCTGCATGTGTCTTCATGTTAGGACTGTCAGCTTAGACACAAAATTAAACTCGGAATACAAATGATCTTTTCAATTTTTTTAAAAACTTGCCAAAACGTCATTACTATTGCAGGAGTGGTTAACTGTTGTTAGTCTGATTTAACTACAGGTGCTTTTCTTCATGAGGGAACAAGATAGAAGAAGTTCAATCTGTATTTAATAATATTTGACGCTGTGTGTCTGCTCCATGGCTCCTCAGGGTCAATGGGGAGTAAAACCCAGGGAGGACAGCCTGGCTCTGGGGTGTACAGCACCTCTGTTGCTCCCGTGGCCTCCCAGGCCTCCAGCTCCTTCTCCCACAGCGCTGCAGCTACAACAACTGCTCCGTACAGCACCGACACCTCCACCGACTACAGCCAGTACAACCAGGCCTACACACAGGTACCGCAGCACAACACAGACACAGTTCACAGAGACATAAGTGAAGAAACTTGGTGTTCAGATGGATGGATTCGGATCTGCTTGTTCCACGTTGCACCAAGTGTTGCTGGGCCCAGAATGTGAGAGAGCGAGGGATGATCGATGAATGGAAGCGTAATGAGTGGATGGATGAGTGCAGCGGAGACAGTGAGCTGTAACTGGAGGAGGCTGGGAGGTGGAGGAGATGAGAAGGGGCCGGGATATTTGGAAAGACAGAATGAGTTGAATATTTGGCAGAGTATGCTGTGTCTTCATCTGTCCCTGCTTCCTTCCTCTCTCTTTCTCTCTCTCTCTCTCTCTCTCTCTCTCTCTCTCTCAACACTCCCTCTCTTGAACAAGTCATGAAGCCTCTCGACTCTTTGTCTTTGTCCCTCTTTCTGTCCTCCTACCACTTTTTTTCCTTCTCTCTGTCTCGCCTCTCATCGTTGTACTGCCTCCTCCAGCAGCAAGTGACATATCTGATATTTTACAGTGTGCTGAAACCCCAATTTTAAATGTTAATTACGATCTACCATCTACCCATCCAGAAAAATGAGTCATGATTAGGTAACAAATAAACTGGCCTGTTTTCATTTGTCTGGAAAGACGTGACCAAGGAGAGAAACGGGAGAGGAAGCTGTCTTCAGCAACAATAGTTAATGGATGACAGAGAAAGACAAATAACAAGAAAAGGAGGCGAAAGAATCAGAAAAGACAAGAAAATTACCGTGCAAACATGAATTTGTCTGCAGCTCCAGACGCTTCTCTCCTGATGTGATCTGTTTGTTCCACAGGAGGCCATGCAGCAGTGGTACCAGCATTACCAAGCAGCAGCACAAGCTCACACCTACAACACTGCTGCTCCCCAGGACAGCACGACCACAGACTACAGCAAGGAGCACACACAGGTAACACACACACACACACACACACACACACACACACACACATTGACCTGTTTGTCACAGTTTGAACAATGGTAGGACGAGGAGGAGTCCCACCTGGCTCAGTAAAACATCCACAAAGTTTTTACTGCCCTCTGCAGACAGGCAAGATAAACTCGGTAGATACCACTATCACTGTGTGAGTGAACACAACAATGATACAAAAATTATTTATGCCACTTTTACTAAATACTTTAGATAACTAAAATGAACATACATTTTATTAAATAATAACAGTCCTTGGAAAAATACTGTAAAAATATTTTTACTGCAGGAGTTGCATGTTCTTTCTTTTCCATTTCGAAATCAGTTAAACATCACATTTTTCCAGGTTTGATCTAATGTTTGCATACAACTGTGAATTCAAGCTGAAAAGACTGACCTCTGCAGGATGAATGAACAGACCTTCTTGTGTTCCAGCCTCCCCCGGTGTCCACCTATGGGGATTACAGTTCCTACATGCAGGCTGTCACTCAGTACTACTCCCAACCTGCAGCTGCCAACCAGGCCTACGGCAGCAAGGTAGATAAACACACTCACGTCATTCGATTTAAGTCTTTTAAAATGTCTCCTCACTTTTAGAAAAAAATGTTCTCACTCTCGGGATCTAAACTCACATTGGTCCTCAAAAGATGGAAGTGCAATGCTTCATGGGGAATAAGTTCAAAAAGTTAAAACAGCAGGGAGTCGTCTTTTCTCAAACCGTACATCTGTGATGATTTTAAACTTATTTTTCTTGCTGAAACTTTATTTAATGACGACGCTCGCCCTCCTACAGAGAGCTCAGCTGTTTATACATTTCAAACAGATGATAGAGCGTTAAGCTGGGATCTATTTATTTATTTATTATTAAAATTAATTGTTTTTGGACTATTTATCAAAAAAAGTTGAGTCCTGATATCTGAAAGGTTCCAGAAAAAACAGAGCTCTTTAAAAACAAACTTGAGTATTGGATTTGAAACGTCTTGAGGTGTAAGTGATCTGGGCTGCGGCTCTCAGAGCAGCGTGTTGGTATTTGCATGCAGTTTGTGCGTGTGCTTATTTGGAGAGAGTGACCTCTGTCTGAGACACCGATACCCAGTTAGAGCGAGCACATCACTCGGCACCCAGCAGCTGATACAGGACATCTCCACACACCCCGACCGACCAGACTGATCTGCTGCTAGAGGCTGGAGACTCTGACTGTGTGTGCGTGCGTGCGTGCGTGCATGCGTGTGTGTGTTTGTTTGAAGATACATTCATGGTTATCGTCATGTAGCAGAGTTGTATTCTGGTCTACAGAGCTCACTGTATAGACTATATATAAAGATGAACAACATGGCAGCTCCCCAAAATAATAAACTGGATCGCCCCCCTGGGGACTGGCTGTTGTATAGGTCACAAACCGTGCCTCCTCCATGTTAGCAAATGGGACATTTAACAAAAATCAAAAGACTGGACTTTTCAGGGGTTCTTTCTTTGGCCCCACCCCTCCACAAAATGTTATGGAAATCGGTCCTGTGGTTTTTGGATAATTCTGCCGACTAACAATCAAATGCTAACAAGAAGGAGATGTGTGAAATACTTATAGACGCACCACCTATTGATAAAATTGAGCCAAACATCTTGAGACTGTGAAGGATGTTTTTCTTATTGTCTTTATTATCTAGTTTCTGTGATGCTTTTTTAAATAAACAGTTAAACTCTGTGTTTCCCACAGGAGGTAGATGTGTGCAAGCCTCTGGGAGTCTCTCTGCACGCAGTCAGTAACGGTGCGGCTCCTCCGCCAGCCGTCCTGCCAGCTGCCGCCGTGCTCCCAGCCTACAGCACCCTGCCATTAATGCCCGGCTTCCTCGGGGCGCCACACCCGGCGGCAGCTACTCCCAGCGCCGTCACGCACGCACACACTGCCGCCACCGACTGGAACACTTACTACTATGTGAGTGAAGGAAATTCACACTCTCATGCAGCAGCTGACACTGAGCTGTTCTCAGATTCTCACATTTTGAAGTCTGAGGAATGAGAACGCTCAGCTTGAGTGAAATGAAAGATTGAAAAACTTTTATTATTGCAGTCGAGTACTTTTGTGTCCCCGCTGTAACTTCTACTATGAGAGGGCACTGCTGCTTGTTGGGATCATTGTCCATTGTTTGCATTTAAAATGAGATTTCAGGATAAAGATGGATTTCTTCACAATTGTTGCTATGTCTGTTCGAAATGTATTATATTATATTTATATATAATATAATTTATTATTATTTTTTATTTTTTTTTATTATATAGTGTGTTTCAAGATGAAGCAAAAAGTTCTTTCCAAGTGACAATAAATTAAAATAGAAATTAAAAACATAAACCCCCACATTTTTTAATTTTGGAACGTGACAGCATACATGGATTATCAATAATATTGTTATTGATAAAATAAAATAGAGTGTGGTTATCAAGATGAGGGACGGACCTGCAGCGGTTTGCAGCTTTCTCCTCCAAACAGAGTTAAAGCACTACTTTCAGTAACAGTCGTAGTTGGAGGCAGTAAAAAGCATGACGAGAAGAGGAAGATTTAGAGTGTGTGCGATGGCGTCAGCAGACAGACACGACCCAGACGTGTGAGCTAAGCCTCGTCTCGAGCAAGATTTACATTTGTTTGTACAGACAGACTCTGTGGCTCCATCTTACTGGAGCTGAGACCTTCAGACACAAACACACACACACACACACAGGATGTCTGCATGGTCAAACTCTAACTAACAAACTACTTTTCCAATTTCTATTCACCCGCTTTTTTAGTTCATCTTGTTGAAGACAAGTTGTATGACGTGTCACTGCCTCTACCCAAACGTTGATCTCCTCGAGTGTCGCTAACATGTTTGTTTCCTGTACACAAATTCGGCAGTAAGATTGGTCTTAGTTAGCGAAGCACTCTACCATCTTTTGCTGAGTTCTGTGGTGCGCCCTCTACTGGAATCCTCCTGTAACACGGGTATTACCAAAGCATGTATGTGAATTATTCCGTTCAGGAAGTTGCCGGTTGCAAACAGCGAGTACATCGAGTTTATCCTTAAGTGCTACGACTAACTCTTTCTTCACCTCTAACCACGCCTCCCTCTCTCATCTCTCCAGAACCAGACCAGGGGCCATAAGAGAGAGTACCCTCAGCTGGCGGTGCAGGAAGTGACATCATCAGAGGGCGCCTACATCGGGCAGCACTCGCAGGGCCTGGGCGGCCAGTACGCCGATTACTTTAAGAGGAAGAGGCTCTAGTACGAACCAAACCACCTTAAAGCCTGAAGCTTATGGGGGGAGGCACAAGCAGATGTCACAGCTCCCTCTAGTGGCCTTTCTGTGGCTGCCATTTTGCATCCCTACAGTAGGTATTAGCTGAATTAGGGTTGCAAATGGCTCAAGTTAAAGCAAGCCATAGTGCTCAGTGATACTGGCATTTATGTACACACACACACACACACACACACACACACACACACACACACACACGAACACAGTGTTGCTTTCGTCCTGTTCAAGCCTTAACTCTTAAGCTCATGTTTCTTAGTCAGCGTGTCGACTGTACTTAGCTAATATTACCTTGTACATGTTTTCTAATCTACTGTAAACTGAAGTATATCGTATCTGTACGTACGAGCTGCTTTTGTATTTGCAGCCAGACGACCTGTCTGTCAGCTCTCACTGTCACATCTCTTCCTCTGTGTGCGTTTCCTACTTTCTAAGGACAAAATGGTGTCGCACACTCATGCTTTGATCCGTCAGTCGAACTGACATCTTGTTTATTCCGGCTTCACTGTCTTTTTCTCTTTTTCGTTTTACTGTCCAGGCTCCTCTTTTTCAGCGGGGGATTGGAGTGTGTGTGTGTGTGTGTGTGTGTGTGTGTGTGTGTTTGTGTTTGTGTGTGTGTGTGTGTGTGTGTGTGTGTGTGTGTGTGTGTTTGATATGCTGTATCTGTAGGAAGCGTCAGCCATTTAAATCCCAAAGTCGGGAACAAATCAGGAAAAAATAAAAGGGCCTGAATAGATCAAAGCCCTTAAATGTGTTGAGTTACAGAAGCTTCCCTCTTTGAACGGACCTTTCTTATCAAGACTGGCCAGAACATAACAGGCTTGTATATAAACAGTGTGTGATACCGACTATATAAAAAGCCATGTGCATAACAGACAGAATCGTATACATGTATAATATAATGAACATTTCCCGGCTCTTTTGTGAGCGTATTGTACTACATTTACTACATGTCTGATTTTTGTTTTTCAATCTATACTGTTATATATTTGTAATATAATAATCCAATACTATTCAAGTAATTTTAGTAATATTGAATCAACTGGTTTTGACTTTAAATGTAGATATTTGGTTTGGTTTTTAACATTTAACCCAAATATTAGGTCAGATCTCCTCTTCCTCTTCCTCTTAATGCCAGGCAGTTTTTCAGAAACAGGAGCTTTACTTCCATTTCCTGACACAATTAGAATATAAAAGTTTTCTGACTGTAGTTATGTCCCAACTCCACACTGCATAATACTTTCAAGCAGGGTTTTGAGTATGTTTTCCCACTGCAAAAGTAAAAGTACATTATAGAGCCTGGCCAGACTCTCAGAATACTGTATCTGTAGGAAGCGTCAGCCATTTTTAAAATGAAAACTTGTTTTTCGGAATAAAAAAGATGTAAATTTATGTTTAACATTTTAGAAAAAAAAAAGTTCAGGCTATTTTCTTTCATCATCTTTCTATATATCTCATTATATTTGTGTTTTCTTTTTATTTACAGTTATTTTTAATAAAGTTTATGGTTAAACTGTGAAATATCAAACCTCAGTAACATTAATTTGTCATTCAGGTTTGATCAACTTTGATAACGACATCTTAGGAATCGTTGATACATCAGCTGTTGAATCGGTTCCAGAAATGTTTTACTCCCTAATATGGGAATCGTCATTAGCCCTGAAGAAACCCACACTGGTCGGGCTCTGGTATATATCTGTTATATAATCATATAGTAACAAATAACTACTCGTTAGCTGAACTCTTCACACACATCGTTCAGTGCAGCGGAAGAGGAAGAAATCGTGATATCCAAATGTCACAGCTTCTGTAAAAACTTTATGGATTTGATTTGCTAAAAGAAATATACATTAGATTACTGCAGTGTGTGTACTGTATTAGAATTAGTATGCAGTGTGGGATTGGGACACAGACTTTTGTCGTCTTCTCCTCGAGTTTCCGCACATTTACTTCTTTAGTGCAAAAAAATAACTCTTAATGCTGATTGTGTTGAGTGCTGGTTTCTTTCTAGTGGCTTTTATAATGGATCCGGAAAAAAAAATATTTTATTCCTTTTATTTCTTCTTTTTTTTTTTTAAACTATTTTGGTGATTGCCATTATTCCTGCTGGTGCACAGATGGTGAATCTAAATCTGCTTCATGTCCAGAAGGCTTGTTTGACGTTCATTACCATGGAGAGGGCTCTGTATTTTAATATTACTAACCGGCAATAACTTAACGCTCCTGCCGCTGTAGAAAGATGAATGTAAAATCTTTATGTTGTAGTGTAAAAGATTTTCTCCATGCAGCATTATACAGTCCTGTGGAGCAGTAACGGCTCATAACCCACGCTCGGCAAAAGCTTTTGTTTTGAATTCTACTAACCACTGTCTGATTATGTATACCGGAGCAGAGTATTGCTAGCATCGCCATGGCAACCAGGCCGGCACGCTGTGAAAACAGGTGTAAACAGGATGCACGCGATGTTCACAAGGGCCGAGCATCGGTGGTGGTGTGCAGGAACGCTTGTTAAACACTTATAAAAAGGCTTAAACGCAAACTAAAAGCAATAACCATCCCTCAGTGCGACAACACACACACACACACACACACAGACACACTTTCCTGGCCTCCCTCTTTAGCCGTCTTTCCTCCAACCTGTTTCGTTTGTATCTCACGTTTGCTCACATCCTGCTTCACTCCTCCATATCCATGTAGTCGTAACACGTTTTAATGGATCCACTGACGATTTACTGGAGGATATTGACAATACAGACACAAATGTGGGAAACAGTTGAAGTGAGAGGATTTGAAAAATGCTGAATATTTGCTCAAACACAGACAGGAAGAGGAACGGCTGCTGATTAAAGCCATTTTCCTCCTCCTCTCTGTGCCTCTGTTCTGTTTTAGTAAAATAACGCAAACGCTCTCACATTTTCAACTTTCATCGACTCTTTTTTTCTTGTGTTCCACAGTTTGAGGATTAGAGCGATTCCAGTTCAGTCACAGACTTGGTCTGTTGTTGTTTACATGCTGGAGGCTCATATTTGCCTCAATTTAAATTCAAACAGCTCCAACTTCCACCTCTGATCCTAAAATCTGTGTGTGCGTATTGAATTAATGGAATAATCGTATATTTAACATGTTAAAATAACATGAAGGCGCATTGGGGCCACTTAATAGAGGAACAATTTCGATTTTCAGTTGTAATATTACAAGAATACTCAATAATATTATGAGAATGAAGTCGTAATATTACAAGAGTACATTTGTAATTTTATTAGAATCAAGTTGTAAAATCACAAGAATTCGTCGTAATATCCTTTCTGTTTTTAAATAGCGTTTTTCCAGTCTATGACTTTTTTTCCTCATTAAATTTGTCGTTTTTCTCGACAAAATCACAATTTAGTTCTCGTAACTTTATGACTTTACTCTCGAAGTGTCACAGTTTTTTATCTTCAGCGTGGCCCGTAAGTTAATCATGTTTTGTTTCTTCAAAATATCTTACACTTTCTATCAAGGGCTCATTGATAATGATATGAATAAGCTAATTAACTGCCTTTACACATGCATGAAAGAAAAATGTGTCATTTGAAAATGAAGATTTTATTTATTTATTTTATTTTAATTTAGATAATAAGCATACGTTTCTAAACAACCTGCTTTATGAATCACTCAGAATTCAGTTTAAAGACACAGTGAAAACCTGTGGAAGCTCTTTCCTCAGCTTCTCTGCTGCTTTAACTCATGAACCCTCTGTTTGCTCAGTTTTTCCATAAATAGCAGAACAAACTTCTTTTGGACAAAAAAGACAGAGATCCAATAAGTCAAGCTGCGGGCACAGACTCTGTTGAAGTCAAATCTAATTTCTCAAGACGTCTCTCTCTCTCTCTCTCTCTCTCTCCCCATCTGTGGCTGTTTGTCATTTTGCATTTCCCCCCTCAAGCATTTCGTATCTATTGATTTGTTTTGGTCACTGTCTCATCGGCCTGATCTCGCCTGAATCAACTCTGACCACTGGGACACATTTTATGGCGACACACTCATCTGGACCAGTGGCTCCGAGCCACTGTTTGATTTGCTTCTCGGTGTGAGTGGATGAAGAGTAGCTCTCTCTCTCCTCCACCTCTTTAAAAGGCTCGATGGAAATTGTGCGTCCATCTGTGAGTGAGTGTGTGTGGACGAGTTTAGAAACCGCTGTCCTATGTTCGCACCGTCTGTCTCTCAGCCTTTCTGCCTTCTTCTGTCTGAATGTTCTGGCCACCAGTTGTTTTTTTTTTTTTACATTATTTCTGTCATGTTCTTTGCTATTTTGCTTCTAAGGGATAGAAAGAGTCGTACTGTCCTGCAAGCTGAACTTCTGTGAGGAAAGAAATATGAAATATTTGATAAGAACACAATTGATTTTATCATGATGCAGGTTTAAGTTACATTTGTTTGTAGAGATGTGAGTGTCAGATACTGTGCGTGTCCTGCTGGAGCCAGAGATGGTTTGTTAAGCACATATTTACATTCTTTCTGTGAGTGTTCAGACTGTGCCAAATGTTTTGCACTTTCAAGTTGTCCGAGTTCACGTCTCTCGCTGTTTCTGAACGTTGTCACTGAATTGCAGATAATGAGAGATGAACTGGTTCTTTCTTCACCTGCTGTGTGTGTGTGTGTGTGTGTGTGTGTCTTTGTCTTTGTGTGAGAATGTCGCTCCTGGCAGGTAATGGGGTTGAGGAGAGACAGGCGGAAAGAAAAGGAAAAACAAGTCGAGCTGCTCTCAGCTGCAGGATAATTTCATTTATTTCTTTATTTATTGTCAGTGAAGAGTCTTGTGTTTGTCTGCCACACTCCTGTTGCAGGTACCTGTAGAGCTGTCACACACACACACACACACACACACACACACACACACACACTCTGACGCCCACTGGAAACATCTCTGCTCTGGTTATTGGCATCAGATGGCCTCTCACAGACCGTTTCTCTCACACAGATCTCCTGCTGTGATCCGAATCCACACGGAAACATTATGACGCTCACAATTCTTCGCTTATCGTCGTCTCTCCTGTGGAGTAAAGCGTCTTCGATATCCACAGGAAAAAAACAATCAAAGTATGCAGTGTTTACCGCCGGCCAGCTGACGAGCACCATGCATCCCTCCCCAGTGAGGACTCGTCTGATCGTTGACGTTTAGATTCAAACAGCTGTGCAGATGTGGATTTTGTGCGGAAGAAAACTGTGAATGAATCTCGATCACATTTATAGGATGAGGCTGATGATACTTTTTTCCCGGAAGATATAAATCTCATTTCATATTTGAAGGTTTTTCAGCCTCCTGTCGCGTTCTTCCTCATCTGATTGATTTCGATCAATTCACTGACGTCCTCTAGTTTGAAAAAAAATAGATTTTCCTGCTCAGACCCGCCACTGACCACCATGTTGATGTTCTCCAGACAGGACGTGGCCGTTAAGATGTTCATGTACAGGACTGTGGAAAAAGTTTGTTAAAGAGAGGTTGCCATGATCGGATATTATTTAATAATCCTTGCAAAGATCTGTCGATAGTATAAACAAAATTTAATCAGCATTTGGTTTGACGCTTCGTGTGCTTGGTTTTTACTCGGCTGGAAGGTTGTTCACCTGCCACAGTTCTTCTGTCTCCTCACGTAATTATGGTGTTGACATCTAGCTACTGCTGTTATGTTGTGATTTAGTGGCATCTAGTGGTGAGGTTGCAGATTGCAGCCAACTGAATACCTCTTCCCCCGCTAAATACTTTAACAGGCTGCATCTTACAAAGACGGTGGCCTCAGATTACGAGCACAGACTGTAAAATAAAGATGGACAACGCATCTCCACTTCCTCCAACTAGGTCGCACTGATACACACACTCAACCAATCGTTTCAGCTGTCAACTGTTTTTTATAGCATCAAATTACAAATAAAACACCAAACTTACTTGAACAAACATCGAAAGTTTTAGACGTTCACTATTATGGAGGAGGCGGGGTTTATGACCGATACTGCAGCCAGCCACCAGGGGGTGATCAAGACACTTTAGCGTCACTTTTTTGGTCGTCCATCTTTATACACAGCCTGATTTGGGACACAGCTGATGTCATGTTATCCAAGTCTCGACACTTTTTGTTTTTTGTTTGTTGCATCACACACAATTTTATTTTTCGTAATGAAAAACTCGCCACCGACGACAACCTTAGTTTGGTTTCCCAGATCATTTTGTGCCTGAAACTGTCGCAAATTCTTCTTTTCCATCTTTGTGCATTTTCACTCCAGTTTAACGAAGAGCTGCGTCAGTTACCCACAATCCAATTTTGTGCTGTTAATTGTTTTGAAAGCCCTAAGTTCACTTATTGATTTGCATTTAAAATGATGAATACGTCATTTTGGAGTTTTAACCGATGTTGCAATATTATATTGAACACTGCCTCCTCCAGTTTGAGTGTGATTGTGTAAAATACACACATTCTACAGCTGAGGAAGAAATTATGTTTTTTTAAGTCTTGTATTTTACCTTTTTGTTCCACTGAGGAATGTTTGAGTGGTTCGACTGATGGAGGAAAGGTTTTATTTCGGTTCCTGTGCCTCTCTGTGCCACCGAGACGTCCTCATGATGATTGTACACAAACACTGACGCAGCACAAACACACGAGCTGAAGCGTGAAGCTGAGTCTTGTTGGTGATCTTCGCCCATCGCTGAGCCGACTGTAGTTTACGCCACCGAGTCTTCGAGATAAATGATATTGCTGTGTAAATGCAGCTTCTTATTCGATCTCTAGTTGTTAGTGGACGTACGATATTGACTCTGAAGATTTTATTTATTACCAGAACAGGAAAATCTTACATTTAGTTTAGCTGTGATATTTTTTTGTAGGATTAACACAAATGTCGTGGAATCACTTCAGGTTCAACTCCAGATTTTTCTCTTCTTGTGTAAACGGAGTCACCTCTAAGCGTCAGTTGGCCACCTATGGACCAGTACTAATATTACATAAGGTCGGCGGGGAGGCTGGACTTTGCAATAGTGAATGACAAATCCATGTGGTGTGTGTGTGTGTGTTGAACACATAGCTTTGCAATACCGAAGTATATCTGAGTTTTCAGACACATTTTAATGGCTGTAGATAAATCTAGATTTGCCGTGCTTCTCGTTTTGGTAACAGTTTTTTGCTTTTAAAGTACGTGGGGGTTTTTTTTTCTGACCTGAAATATACTGTAGATTTTTTGCAAAGATTTTATATCATACTGACATTGATATTGTTTTGAATAAGGTATTTCTAGAGCAATTTTAGCATGTCTGCTTACACCTGTAATATATCGAACAGAGTTTTCAGTAGATGATAATAATAATAATAATAATAATGACAATGGTGATGATAACAATGATACTGCATTTGGACTGACACAGAGAGAACAAAACAAACACTGATTTTATTTATTTTTTCATTGTGTATTTATGGATACTTTTACCTTCCATAATTCTTAATTTTGTCTTATATTTTGAAAAATATATTTCTTTTCTCTTATTTTGAGCAGAAGGAATTGTCTTTTACATTCCTAAATAAAATGTGGACTGAAGCGCAATTGTGTCTTTTTGTTGTTTTTACATTTTGCCAACATTCACAGTAAAAGTCACGAGTTGTGTTAAACCGAACTGACCATTTTTGTATTTTGTGACCGAGCGACATTTCACAGCTACATACTTATGAATTTAAAACAGATTCATACCCCTCTGCTCAAAGCTTACAACATGTACATATTTAAAATACACTTTTATACATTTCTAGGCATATTGGAGGATTAAAACAAAAATTTGACGGATTAAAATGAACAAATATCATATGAAAGAAATAAAATTCTCTGGAAAATAAAATGCCATGTTAATAATCGCCACTGGTTAATCTCTGATTTTGACAATTGGATCTGATTCTTGCAACACAAGACACACACACACAAGTAGTGGAGAAGAAACGTGAAGTTATACTGCCCTCTAGTGGGGGATTCTTATCTTAATCTGTCACTCCTAAACGACACAAATGCTGTATGTTTGAGAATTAAATAACCATATGCATAATTTTTTTTTTTTTTTAAGGTTCCACCTGTTTCAAAATACAAATCCCTCTAACATTCATCCTCCTACATCTGAAGACTTCTATTTATAGTGCTATTAGAAAAAAGTATGATTAAATAGTACGATTAGGCATAATGTAAAATAAAAATGATTTGATTTTTCTTTTTTTAAAACTGATTCTCTGCAAATACAGTTTTCTTGGTATCTTCAACACAAGTAAGGCAGACGTTATTACAAATAAAGAAAATGTAGAAGGTTAATCGGAATATTGATGATTAAACATCCGCTTTAAAACATGACTACAACTCAAGATACTCTCTTCACATTGGTTACTCTGTCAGAGTCTGACACCTGAAGAGTCTTACAGAACAAAGCAGGATCGCTCAGCACATCTGCACAGAATATCTAAACATTTATCACAGACCCTTTCATGGCTCTGAGAAAAAAACTTCAGGTGATTTTCTTTTCCTGAAACAAAAAGAGTCCATGAAACAAACAAAATGCTGAAAAAAAACCATCTTCAGTTTTCTTTCTTGTCCATTCCAGCATTTTTTCTCAACCAGTTCATCAGTGATCCACTCAGGCTTCCATCTACAGTCGCACAAGTCAAAAGTAATGTAATAGTGAGCATTGAAACTGTTCCTCTCTCTGCTCAAGTTCCTTCTTTCCATCCTCCATCAGTGAGAGTGATCAACGCTGCCCGAGCTCATAGAATATATATAAGTGACAGGTCGACGTGAGTTTCTCACAATGCAGACAGTTAAATGTGTAAGATATACTTGAAACTCCTTTTGGAAGCTATAAGGTCACATTTAGCAACGAGTAATAACTTGTTTCATCCACTATAATCAAATGAAAATACAAGAATAAGAGACCATCCAATGAAAATGTTAAAAAATATATATGACTAAAATGATAGTTATGGGTATATGTGAAGAAGCGCGACTTTGCGTGAAGCACTGACTCCGTCTCTGGGTAAAGTGAAATTGCACAAGCAGATGCTGATCTGTGACCAGTTTTGTCGGTTGCATCTCTTCCCAAGCCTGCATGCAAAAGTCCCCGTGACTCCCGGGACCTCAAACAGGACGTGAGATTCAGAAGTTGTTTTGCGGTTGGAGGTCCTGCAGCATGTTGCTCAGCTCCTCGATCAGGCACTTGAAGGTGATCCTCCGGTCGGGCGACTGCTCCCAGCACTTGCGCATCAGCTCGTACACCTGTCAAACACAGACTCCGTAAGTCCAGAGGTAAAAGCTTTTTTCTAAAAGCAGTTTTGTTGTAATGAGTTCGTGTTGGGAATGTGAAGACGGTTTCTTACATGCTCAGGGCAGCTCTCAGGGCATGGCAACCTCCTGCCTTCTTGCAACACCTTCACCAGTCGGATGACGGTCATCTGTCCCTGAGTTCGACCAATCATACCGCAGAAGAGCTGCGTGGGTGAGGAAGAGGGACAGGTTGGAAAAGACAACGGCTGATGAGTGCAGAGCTATAACTGATTAAGTTTCTCCTGAGCTCTTTTCAAATATGAACGAGAATATTGAGGTGGGACATTTTCCGGAGTTTGTGTTTCACATGTGAAGAACACAGCAGGAAAATGTCAGTAACATTCAGGTGGGGGTGGCACTTGGGAGGAGCATGAAGGAGGAAGAGCATGACTTAGAAATTCCACTGTGGAAATCAAATATTTTAGTTTCCAGCACATTAACACAGGAGTCTGCCAACATCACAACAAACTCTTAAATCTTGTAATTCCAGTTTGACATCTTCGTCTGGGTTATATTAATATACGTCATCAACACATCCACTCGCTCGCTGTGAATTTTAGACATTAGCCCGCTGTATTTTTCCATGGGCTCACTTAGGAATTTACTCGGGGCTGTGTGTGTGTGTGTGTGTGTGTGTGTGTGTGTGTGTGTGTGTGTGTGTGTGTGTCTGCTTCATACTGACCGTCATCGGGCTCTTGGTGGAGTCACAATAAGAGATGAGTTCATACATCGTCACCCCGAAGGACCAAACATCTGAGGCAAGGTAGAACTTACAGAGAGTCAGACACTCCGGAGCGTACCTGAAAAACAACATGAAGCATATGAGCGTGGACCTTAATGTACAGAGTTCTACTTAGTATAGCATAACACAACCTCAGACACACTAAGTAATACCGAGGGAAGAAGCAACTGCAACCAAGTTCAGATTTTGTCATTTAGATTAAATTCTGCCAAACAAAGCCATCTAATTATATAAAGAAAGTTACTGCAGCTTGTAAACACAAAACATACAAACTTAATAATCGTATTTCAACAAGCAGATCCTTATTTACACATTCAGAGTTACAGTATCGTTCTGTTAGAGTTGTGTTTTAGAAGCCTTTTATTCACTGTCTCTTAGGTATGATCTCTAAAAACTCCTGAAAAACATCTGCATCTTCAGCTGCTGAATATGCTCCACTTTGTTTAAAATATGAAATACAGCTGCTTCGCCAATTGTTCTAAAATGTAGAATCCCTTATGAGTGTTCTAGCTCGAATAATCTCAACCGAATACTTGCTCGAAGATACTTCTCTCTTCTTTTCTTCTCTCTGTTCATCACCTCATCGCTGCCTAATTCATTGCACGTGTTTCCTTTGATCCTCCCTCAATGTAAACGCTCACCAGAAACCAAAAGTTAGTTAAATGCAGAAAATGATTCACAATTTTTATTTTCATTCTGTAACTTCCCATTTCATGGAGTGTCCTCTCAACTTTTCTTTTTCACAGTAAGATCTCAGTTGTCACGGTCGAGTCTGAGAGATAACATTTCTACCGTGAATGTCTGACCTGCCCGTTGACTCACCAGAAAACTGGACTGTCATGGTCGTCCTTGACGGTGTAATATCCCTCATTGTTCTTGATGCTCTTGGTGAGGCCGAAGTCTCCGATCTTTACTGTCCTCTCGTTCTCCACCAGCACATTTCGGGCAGCCAAGTCTCGGTGGATGTAATTCTGAGATCCCAAATATTCCATTCCCTTTAAAAATCACACAAACAAACTATATGGTCACTATCCACAAATTCAGAGTGATTGAAATGCAGCATTTGTGCAGATAAACAAAGCTGACTAACGACATGAGGAATTAACTGTGATCACACAACCGAACGTGCTGCACTACGCTGTGTTACCTGGCATATCTGGATGGAGTAGCTGAGCAGGGTGCTGAGGCTGGTCTTGCTTTTGTTTCTGGGCAGATACTCCTTCAAACTGCCCAGTGGAAGATACTCCATGATCAGCTTAATGGCGTGACCCCCTGTAAACAGATTCACAGTGACAGACGGTAATTCATTAAGAGAAAGTATGCTTTAGTAAAACTGCATTCAGGCAGGCGGTCTTCTCCCTCAGCGCATCACACCAATGGAATTCACTAACACCGTCTATTAGACAGAACTCATCGTATTTAAATGCAGTGTTAAGAAATGCCATTACTGATGCTATTTGACCAGGACTGTGCACTAACAAATGAATCTGTGTTGTCTAAATGTAATTGTGTATGCTGTTTCATTATTGTACCTATTCTATTATTGTTACACTATTTGTTTAAATAGCAGCATGATGCCTTTCAACATCTAGTAAAGGGAGTGCCAAGGAAATCTAACAGCTACCTCTGTTCAATTTACATTTGTACGAGTGCTGATCGATGTACATTGTCCCTTTTCAAATAAAGAATAATAGTTGAAGCAAATGTGAGCTGAATTTTGTTTTGACATCACAGTGGTGTTGTTTAGGCAATAGGTAGACATTTCAGTGACTCTGTCGATCTTACCTTCCTCTTGGCAAATGCCCTTGTATTTGACAATGTTTTCATGGTAGAGAGCCTTCAGGATGTTGATCTCTGTCGAGAGGCTGCTGCTCTGCTCGTCCCGGTTCTCGGGCTTCAGTGACTTCACCGCCACCAGCTCGCCAGTTTTATCTCCCCGAGGATCATAGCGACACAGCTCCACCTTACCAAAGTGGCCCTAAGTGAGGAAGGTGAGACGTTTGAATCACTTTAGACATGATGAGCTCTGATCTCGTTATTTCTTATAGATTCCTTCAGTTTGGCATCTGCTCTTGTTTTGTTTTACAGATAATGATGTATTTCATCCCTTCAGCTCGTTTTAGGACATGAAAGACCACAAGAATGCTAATACTCCTGGGGGGATTTATTTTTAACAGTAGTAAGCTAAAGTGAACCATAAAATATGTCTCCATAACCCCCAAAGTACTCAGACTACTAAGTTAAATTATAGATGTATTTTACCAATGTAGCTTAACAAATTGGTAATTTTCTCAACTTACAAACTGGCAAATTGTCAGTTTTATCACACCTAATAAAATAAGGTCAGATCTGCTTTACAGAGATGAACCCACAAGCAACGCAGGCACACTTTACCTCTCCAAGGTCTCGGATCTTCTTCAGGAATCTCTTTTCAAACACCGTTGGGTCCACCTCAGGTACAGGTTTGGGTATGAACGATGGTTCTGAGAAATGAAAAAAAAACAAAAAACAAATGCATAAACCCGCAGCGTCTTTTCTTCAACATAAGCATACTTGCAACATAGGAAGTCTATTGTGGTCGACACGTCAAAGTTTCCACCAAAATCTTTCTGTGGTTATGTGACTGTTCACTTGTTCTGGTTTCCATATAAATTGCTACATTTAGTCATTATTCAAGCTAAACCCATTCTGTGTTACAAAACAGTTTGTATGATCTTTTGGGGTGCATCTTGAAAAAGATACGTTTATTTAAGGGGTTTGGTGTCAGTTTTGTTGATTTGAATATATGATGGTCAAGTGGTGATATGCATTTATTTTAATAAGAGTGACTGCAGTATTCAATTCAGGCCAGCAGGGGGAAGAACATAGTCTATGAAGCTGTGGGGCCCAGCTCAGGGGCAGAACTGTGATTGTGCACCCAGTGAACTTCCTCATGAGCATCTGAGTTGAGTAAACAACTCTGTTTGCACTGCCTCTGAGGCTGTCGAGAGGTGAGATACAAAAACATGCAAAACACACCAACGGAAATCACCAGCAGAGACTTTTCAAGTAGTACCTGTTCTAACATGTGCATTCAGGGACTGTTTGATCGTATCTTAATGGTTAACACCTCTGGATGTTGTTCAGACCAGTTTGTCACCAAGGCAGCAGACAACAAGATGCTGCCTGAGGTTTTACTTAACATGTGCACAGATCTAATTCCATATGAATACTTTATATGTATATAATGCACAGTACACACACATTAACCTCACACATACTTTTTTTTTCCAGCATGTCAATGTCTCTGACAATAGCCCTGAAGAAAGGTCTCTTCTTGGGGTCGTAGTTCATACAACGCAGCATCAGTTCAGCCAGCTCTATGCAGTCCGGGGTGGGCAGCTGGTACTCGGTTTCATAAAACCTCTCCTTCTGCTCAGCACAGAGAGACACATATTAAACAAGGCGATGCATACAAACAGAATTAATGTGATTATTGATCATTGTAAGTGGTGAAAAAAGAGCCATTAACTTTGAAAAACAAGAGATTAGATTAGATGTATAACTGACTACATAAGATCACGTGAGGGGTACTTGTGTGGTACCTCTGTAAGTTTCTTCTCTTGCAGGGGAACGTCTCCATCATAGCAGATCTCCCACAGTGTGGTACCAAAGCCCCACTTGTCAGCTGCGATACTCAGGGCAGAGGGGTTCTTCACACACTCCGGAGCGATCCACGGGATACGATGCACACACTCTGGAGAGGGCAACAAAGTTGACATGAGCAAAAGTAAATCAATAAGAAAACTGATATTTTGGTTCAAGTTTACACGAAAACTACCCGACCGATTTTCATGACATTTTGCGAACGTGTGAGACATGAGCCAAAGAAGAACCCATTAAAGTTTAGAGCAGATCCTGATACAGGAATTATTCTTCTGACACTAATTATATGTGTGGAGGATATTTCTGTTTTGAACTCTTACAATACAAATGTAATAGATGTCGTATATACAGACAGTGGCAGTTCTAGCTTATACTGCAATCTAGGCGAAATCCCCCTTCAGTCCCATTATCATTTAGAAACTGTGGAATTATATCCACTATTAGATAAATTACTTTTACTTTAATGAATATATACATTGCTTTGTTTTAGGAAAGTCCTGTGTAGTACACCTTAAAAATGAAAGAAATGTCAGAGGTGTTTGCCTCACTTATTTCTGGCCCAAAAACCTTTTTTTAAGAGGAAAATCACGTTGATAACATGCTGACAAATTGGCTATGCTAAACACTTAAAGGTCCAGTGTGTAAGATTAAGGTGAAAAGGAACTATTGGCAGAAATTAAATGTAGAATAATCCTCATGATGTTTTCACTAGTTCGTTTCATCTAAATTATATGAATTGAGTTTTCTTTACCCCAGAAAAGCTCCTGTATATTTAAATACTATATATTTACATCGAGGGGACCCTCTCTACGGAGGCCGCCATTTTTTTACATTAGTCCAGACTGAACAAACTAAACACCTTTTGAGTTTTTATGACAATTAAAGGCTACCACAGGTTCTTTTTCCATGTTTGGAAGGGGAGGGTGAGGTGAGGGGTGTTCAGATGCAACATGCAACTTCAATACTAGATAAATTCTACACACTGTACCTTTAAGTAAAGGGTGCAAATGCGTGGATGTCAGCTTATAAACTATGACCATGTTCAATGTGCCAGGAACCAACAGTAAAATACACAACAGCTCTTACTGGGCGGGTCTTTGGTTAAATATGTTGATTGACCTTCTTTGTTGACCATGTCTAAAAATCCTTTGTAAAAGTATGTCACTGACTGGAAGAAGGGCCAAACCTCTATGGCTCTTTGGCTCCACAGATCAATATCAGATTAGGGGTGTATATTGGCAAGTGCACGCATCTCAGACAGGAAAAGAGCTGGACTGACCGGGAGGGAAACAGGAGTAAGGATGGGGAAGAAACTGAAGGAGCTGAGTGGACACAGAAATAAGAGGGGGAAGGAGATAATTGAGTGTAAGGGGGGAGACAAGAGAAAGGTCACAAAGAAAAGGGAGAAAGGGATGAATAGATTTGAGGGTTTGTGCAAAGTGATCAGAGATTGCTGGGAAGAGAGGAAGAGTGCTCCCAGTGGGTTTCCGAGCACTTTCTCCACTATGTGTTCAATCAAATCTATGTGCTAGGACGTCAATGTGTAACTGGAAGACTTGTGCTGGAAACAGAAGAAGAAATGTTAAAGAGTTCTGGGAACCGAGCGAGTATTCCTGAGAGAGTGCAGCGGTGGCGGACGTTTCCGCCTGGCCCTGTGGTTTGCTAATCCATCTGTACCAGCCACACTGTGTGTTAGAGCACAAGATTTCTTCCTCTAATAGATAAACAGAAATATGAGGCGGCCATTTGAAGGGAACAATGCAATCTGAGAAATGATGTTATTGTGTTTTCTTCCCTGAACTTAGATTTAGCTTTTACAAAACCAAATTACGACCCGAGGGGGAAATGTGCCCAGCACAGTGTTATTGATTTTGTGACAAATAAAATTCCTCTTACTGACAATCTGCGGAAGTGTTCTTTTTTTTGCTAATTTATTCAACAGGTTTTTATTTTTACTGCACTGATGGCGAAGAGGATGACTTAAAGGACACAAGACAAAAAGAGTGCGAGGGGGAAAAAAACCTAAAATTGCCCATTACAAAGAAGAATCTCATTATGTTGCCATCTGTTTGTGTTTCTCTCAGAATTACTCAAAAACTGCTAAACGGATTTTCATTCAATTTTGCAGAGTGGTGGAGCATGGCCCACAGAAGAACTCATTAAAGTTTGGAGCAGATCTGGATAAACGGGTGGATCCAGGATTTATTCCTCCGCTTCCTTTATCATGGTGAGAGTAAAAGGCTAAAATGGGATGAACATGAAGCATTTTTTAGAATTTGTTTGATGAGGCAAGTCATCAGACTCATGTGAGTCTCAACCTTCAATCAATGTCAGTGTGTTTACCACATGTTCTATCACAATCAAAGCAGTTTCACTATTTTAATGAGCTTTTTAATTTGTTTTTATTGACCTTTTGTCTCAGAGAATATTTGTCTCTTTGAACTTCAGAATTCATTTGAATTAACATTAACCAATCAATTGTCCAAATTATTTGAGTTGAACTTTATTACATATGTTGAACAAGTTGTCCACGTTTTGGTTGTACTTTCATTTCACAGCTGATTAGGAAAGAAATTGGTTATTATGAAATTCTTCCATGAGCGCTATTTTGTAAGCATTTAGGTTTCACTTTTAGTAACAGAGCATTCGTCTGTGTGTGTGTGCATGTCTGTGCATGGGTGTGGTTTTTTTTGTTTCCCCTCACCCTCTCTGGTGAGCACTGTGATTGGTATTCCTGGGTCGCTGAGCTTGATAAAGGGGCCTCCCTCATCAGCACCTAGTCCATCTCTGGCCAACAAGATGTTCTTAGCGCACACAAAACCATGGATCAGCTTTTTGTCCTCCTACAAACGCACAAAATGAAATATTAATTCACAATCATATCCTCGGATTATATTGAATATATAGGCCTACGATTGTGCCTGTAATTACAGAACATACTTGATAACATTACGTCCTATAACTTGTGAGTGTGTTCTCCTCTCTTACCAAGTAGCTGAGAGCAGAGGCCAGCTGCTTGGCCACCTGGAACTTCCATGGGGTGTTGAGCTGAATCTGCTGTCTCTTCATAAACAGATCCAGTGGTCCGAGTTGCACAACTTCCTCCACCATGATATCTTGTAACAAAGAAACAAACATAACAAAGTGTCATAATAAAGTTGAGCCACACCATAAGATTAAAATGCCTACGCTGCTCTTTTCAGACATGCATTATTTTTTCATTTCATTTTTGCCAGCTCCTGAATGAGCCCATGTGAGCATTTCGTTGTCTCAGTACCTGTACTCTGTACAATGACAATAAAGTTGAATCTAATCTAATCTAATCTAATACAGCAGGATTATGTCCCAAGAAATCACAGCGAGCGAGTGGGTGTGTTGATGATGCTTTTAACATGCGACACAAAGACAAGAATGAAAAAGATGGGCAATACACAGAAAGAAAATGTTAAAGTTGATGTAAACTTGGAAAGACAATAAAACTCAAGAGCATTTGGTGATGAGGGCCGGTGTCGATGTGCAGTAAACATTTTGCGGGCTTCGTGTCAAAAAACTGTTCAAGTTCGCACTTACTTTCCAGGTGGCGAACACACACTCCATACAGTAGCACGATGTGTTTATGGGACACTTGTCGCATCATGCTGGCTGTTTCAAAGAAGGCCTGTCAACACAAAATACGATTCAATACAAAGTACATAACAAAAACTGTTGTTTGAAGAAGCTTATGATTAGATGGTAAAAATGTGGTCAAAGTTCTCATAAGATCAGCTGCACAAAGGTGAACAGTATCTGTGAGTGTGTCTCACCAATGAGATGTCCCTGTGTCCAGAACCCAGCACCTTCAGGACAACCTTGACATCCTGGAAGGATGAGTAGCCTGCGTCCTCATCCTCCTCACTCTTCACCCGCAGTGTGCCCGAGTAGATGTTGGTCCGGGTGCCACGGCCGAGGTGCTCCTCCTGGTTAACACAGCAGGGTGTACAGGAAATGGAGTATTACATAAAATGTCTACACCCACAAGAGTGGAGAGTTAATACAGATTCTTAGATTGAGGTGGAGCTGTCTGTCATTGTGGAGTGACAAAAGGAGGATCAAAAAAAGAGAGCGATATTTACTATTATCTCCCACACACTTCTTTCACAGTTCTTAAAGCTGAGACTTGACACTTTAATTTCATAAGAAGAACTGTAACTGTCTAAATACTTCTTGTCCTGACAGTATAACATGCAGGAAACCAAAGGCTTAATCTGTCATGTTATAAATGCAGTGACAATCATTATATGCTACTCATTATATGGACAATAGACTTCCCATTTTACATCTTAACGTCCTGTAATGCCAGAATAATATCATAATAACATTGAGACTGGTCTGAAGTGGAGAAGGCGTACCTGTTCAATCTCCTCCTTTAGAATTCGAATGAAGCTGAGCTGACTCTCCTGCATGGATTTCTGCGGGGCCGGAGCTCTGTCTTTAGTGACCACCAGCAGGTTAGAAATCTCTGCAGCACAAACACAAACACACACATTTAAAAAAATGGCCATATTGACATGATGGTGATTCAAATAACTGCTGGACATTTTTCACAAGAAAGATTGTGTTTTATATTCTTCTCTGATAACAATGGTTTGTTGTGTTATCCCTCACAGAGACGGTGACACCTGCTCGCATTGTTGCTGAGTCGAAAAGGTTCAATTGATTTGGAAAACAATGAACTCAGTGAACGATAAAAGCAGAAATGAGGTTGACAATAGGTTGTGTGTGTGTGGGCTGCACTGCCAAATGTAGACACTCACTGATATTCAGAGTGAATGCAAAACTGTGTTTACATGTGGTAAAACAAGAACTCAACAATTACGTCAATGTGGTAACAATATGAACAGCTATGCACATTGGATCAGCAGCTGTTTCGGTTTATTTGTTGTGTAGGCAAAGCAATGTGTGGGAGGACAAAGTTAAATTGTCTGTTGCAACACTATATGTGCATGTGGGTGTCTAATGTTGTGACAAAACCAGCGCTGTGTGGTTTCCAAGGGGAGGGAACTAAAAGGTATCTGTACTCCATCAGCCTCACCAAATGTTCACTGTCAGGAGCACTGTTCTTTGTTTTCATGCAAAAGCCAAACAAGCTACGACAGAATATTACATATTAAACTGCAGGAACAGTTGACCCAATCAAGACCCAACCTTTAACATTTAGTTTGAATTTAAGACTGGAGTGACTAGAATGGTTTTCTTCTTTCAAAGTTGCTTATCTTGAAAAACGCAAATTCTAGAAACACATGTGCACCAAACCCACCAGTCCTTTCTTCCATTACATACTTGCTTAACATTATTTTTCACAAGAGTTAGGAATTAAGCATAGTCCCCAAAACAACAGGTAAAACTAAACAGTTTGGGGTCCTCCAAAATCCTCCAAAGTACAAAAGTGTTGTGGAGCTCATACGACTCATATGATAAAAAAAACATTCAACACCCAAACTTACATGGAATAGCTTAACACATCCATGCACACATGTCTCAACCTTACCCTGAGTGAAGTAAACTAGAGTGCTAGAGCTAGTTCCCACTCCAGAAAACCACATTTCCTCCCTGACACACACATTGTTTTCACAACCACAGCTCTTCTTACCATCAGCTAGTTACACAAACATACACTTTGGCACTGTTCAGATCTGTGATTAACATGTATCTCATAACACGATCATAGCAATGTGAACATAAGTGCATCCCGGGCCAAAGTAAAGTGCCTTTGACACCTATTTTTACACCTCTCACTTCTCATTTTCTCACTTCTATCCACAAATGTCTATGGTGACACTTATTGATGCCAAGTGCGAAAGAACAAAGTTTTTTTTCCCTGATATCTGTGAGTTGAAAGGTTCAAGTCGGTTGCACTTCTGACTCCACCCAACATCAGTTAGGTGTGCTCTGTTCTACTCCAACTGTGCATGTAGAAGAGGTGGAGTGAACATGATATAGATAGGTGCTAGAGCAAGCAGGGTTTTCTTAGCCTTCTGTGGCATTTATCACCTTCATGCAAACTGTTGTGTAGGCATTATCAGTATTTATAAATAACTTGGTCTAAAGCAGTAAAGGTACTTGAAGGGACTTTGTCCTCACTTCTTCAAATCTTAGTTTTACAGCATATGTAGTGTAGGTGACCTCTGTTGGGTGGTAAATAGCATTAAATGTTTTTTTCCAAAAAGTCGACCAGATGTACTCATTTCTTATTTTTGTAATCACAAAATATTTCTTAGCTGAATAGTAAGAACAAACTTAAGAGTAATTCATATTGTATGTTTTACAGAGATGCAAAACATAAGATTTCAGTCAGCTAATTTGCTTTGAATAACTTAAAGTCCTTTAAAAGCAGGGCTTCCCGGAGAATTAAGGTATGTGTCTTTATTTGAATTTCAGACAATCACCATGTCTGTCACACTTCCATGTTTGTGGCTGCATTCAATTTACCTCTAGGCTGTGGGGGGCAGCAGCGGAGCAGCTGGAACTGGAGGTTGTCTGTGCGAAGACTCTGGCCCTCCAGGTGATCCAGTAGCTCCCTGAGAGTGGACCGCAATGTGTCGGTGCCGTACAGACAGTACCCATCAGGCATCACCTCAATCTGAAAGTTCTTGTACTGGTGCACGGGGCGAGACTCCTTCGGGTCGATCTGGTTGGAGAAGGGGAAGAGACAAAAGAAGTGTTACATGACACATGGATGACTTTGGAAGAGAGCGGTAGCATGAAAGGAAATGAGTGGCTATTTAGAGGATCATTGATTTTTTTTTTTTGAGTCCACACTACCTCAATGCAGACCACAGTGATGATCATGTACTGGTAGTCAGTGCAGCTCCAGCGCAGTATGTAGGTGCCCTCATCGTTGCCCTCTTGACGCAGCTTGTAGATGGCATATTCCGTACTGGAGAGAGTAAAACAGATAAATAAAAAACGTTTAAAAAAACTTCAGAGGAAGATAGCATGCATGTTAATACTATTATAGTGTTATGTATAATACAGTGAAGTTCACTGTGACCTGTCTTGGATTTTCTACTTAGGTTTTCTCTGTTCTTTCCTTTCTAGGGATTGATTAAGATATGAATCTACAATAACAACATTTAGGCCTTAAATGGGTCTCACGGAAAGCTTGATTAAAAAAGGTAGTTTAACACTAAATGAGGAGGATGACAATATAAGGCAGTGTGAGATGCCCGTGCAGGGGGAGGTAGAAGACAGACAGATAGACAGACAGAGAGACAGACGGACAGAAAGACAGACAGACAGACAGGGTAACAGCTAAATCTAATTAAAGTCAGTGACACATGGTGTCTAAAAAGACCAGCTAGATAGTGTGCGGACACAAGGTCACACAGGTTCCCATCAATAAAACAGCCAGTACAAACCTGATGGGTCCATGGCAGCCATTTTCGGTGTTGTACACCACTGAGGCAGGCGCCACCTCCTTGCACAGGTGGTGGTGGGCGTCAACTGTCAGCCTGAAGTAACCATCTACAAGGGCCGCAAAGGACAGGGCCTCGGCCCGGGAAGCCATTTGCATTTCCTGAAAAAGAGAAAAGAAAGGGGAAGAGAAATATAAAAAAGAAAAAACCAGCCCCAGGACTTTTTGTACAATAAAATCTGAAAATTTAAGAAATTGGCAGTTGAATCCCTCATGTTGTAAATGACAGTTTCCTATTCAAATTGGTTGTGAACTCTTAAGATTTGGTTATTATCAACTGTTTGTATCATTTGCATGTCTGCCTCACCATCCTCTTGTTGTCCTGTCGATTGATGGTGACTGTTGACTCTTTGATGGCGGCGTGCGTGATCTCGTGGAAGTCACAGAACACCACCCAGCCGTCATTTGCATCTTTCTTTGTGTTGTTTTTCTGTTTTCCATCCAGCTTGTTCTTCTTTGACTTACCCTTTTCTTTGGAGATCACAGACATCTATTTTTAGGGTAAACATAGCAGATACACACAGTTAAAGGTTATACAGGAAAATGCACCATGGATATTTTCAAATACTGTCAATTGTTTGTTTTTTTCACTTTTGAAAATACTGTAATAACCCTCGCCAAGTTTGTCTTACATAATTTGCACTTTTATGTCTAAGTAGTCAGCTCAAGAGTCAATGAAAAAGTATAACTAAATGCTTAAAATATACTATACTAGAACGTAACCAGAATGAGAAATAATTACTAAGGTTAATTGATTCATTGTTCAGTCTAAGAAATATTAAACAATCATCAATTTCTTTGCAAAGCTCATAGTGTTGCTTTGAGTTTTATTCACTCAAAATATATATTTCAAAGGCTGGAAAATGAAAATATGTATAGTTTTTCACATTTTTGAGAAAACAATAGGTGACTGCTTCACTTACAGCAGGCTTGTTTCTCCAGGAAATGCCAGTGGTACCAGTCACCAAAACTTGCATGTTGTGGCTCGTCACCACATTCCGGCTCTGGTTCTGCCCCTGTTTCTGGCTGTAGTAAACTGGAAAGAGCATCAAAACATAACATTAAAATATTTAAATGCACTAACATCCAGAACAGCTTGCTCAAATATTGCAGCAGGATCATATTAAAGAAACACCAGGTGTTATCTTAGTTTTGCGGTAGAGAAGCAACCACATCTTCTTACATCCTGCCAACTGACGATGATCTTTTATTTTCCCAGTTTTCCGGTAGTCATTACTACATGGGCTCTTTCTGATGTTATTCTGGTGAACAAATAGTTGAGTCATCTATAATCTTGTTTAATTTTAGTAACACTCAAACAGCTAATCTACGCGACAAACCTGCCACTGTGGCACCGTGAACTCAAACCGTATCATCTTCTGGAAACTTACCACTGTTTCCTTCACTGATGAGATCTCCTTCCCGTGTTACACTGAGCGTGATGGGCTCTAACAGCTCGCTGCCAAGGCCGCTGGTCAGGCCCTCCAGTGTGGCCAAGTACTTGATCTTCAGGTCGTACGCCGTGATGTTGCTGTCCTTGACCGTGCGGCGGTTGAATTCACTGAGGAATTTCTTGAAGACGTTGTTGATGCGGATGCGTGTCAGAATGTTGCGCTGCTTGATGTTGCGGTTCAGGGACTCCGGGATGAAACGTTTGTAGCTGTTGGGATCAGAAGAGAAAAGACAATTATGGACTCAAAAACAGTTTGTCAATATGTAGCAACTCTTTTTTAAATAACTGTTTTGTGTGTGGTGTCCCATGTGCACAATATATCATGGAAATTATTCTCCTTTCTGCTTTACTTCTGTTGCTGGTATTGGGCTAAAAAGAACACAAATGAGGAAAAGCTATTCTACTCAATATGTGAGTAGAACCATTGGAAGGAGTTCACATGAGTGATTGTGTTTGTTTGTTCTCCCCCCCGAGGAGGTGCAAATGCATTTTTTTTGGGACACACATGTGCGTGTGGGCTATGCATTCATCTGTTCTTGAAAAAAGACACTTGGAGTGACCGAGCGGATTATGAATAATTTCCCAAGACGAAACTGGTGGGCTCATATCATCATCTCTCTTTAATGTGTCATTTTAGATCTTAATCAAAAGTGTGCTGAACCCACACCATACAGTAGTGATTGCGTGTGTGTGTTACCTGATTTCATTGGAAGCAATGGCCGGGTTCATGGAATAGTGAGTGATGGCAAGCACAGCCATGCCTAAGCACTCGTTTTCTATCTCATGTTGCTCTGCCTCTGAATCGGACGTCCTCAGTGGAATTAATCCTTTCTGGAAGTCATGCTGGCCCTGAGCGATAACACAGTGAACAGAGACACTTAAAACAACTACTGACGATTCCATAAATTTGTTAGATGTTCCTTTTGCATTACAACTTTCAGTTATTACTTGTCTGAATGGTATGCTGTCTATAGCTGACCTTAACGCACTTATGAATATTGTCCTCCAAGCTACTGATTTTTCAAAACACAACTGAAAACTGACTTGATCTTTAAGCTTTGAAACTGAGAGTACTTTAACAAGATACACCATGGCCTTACTCTAACAAAGCCAAACATATTCCTCCATCCATGTAAACCTAATGCAGGGGCACACCTGGGCGAACAGGTAGTCCAGGGATGCAGCGTCGAGCAGGGGCGTTCCCTCTGGCGTTTTCTGTGGGCTATTTTTATCTCCTTTGAGTTTACTGATGCAGTGTCTCCAAACTGGAGACTCTCCCTCAGTGGTGCCATGCCAATTTCTGAAATAAAACCTGACAAAGAAGAGACACAGAAGACAGGTTAACAGAAATAATATGGATTATTCTTACATTTTATGATTTGAATCCAACTAGTCCAAGTTGTCATAGATAATGAGGTAGACCTTGAGTCGACATTGACAAGATTTTAGCGTTTGATGAGAGATTCTAATGCCACCTGTACTGTAAACAGGAATTATACTTTGTCTTTAGTTGAAATTGATAATGATTTGTTTTCTAACAGACTAAACAAGACATCGTTCTTTTTGGTGTGGCATCGTCTTTGTTAGAACAATTCGGGTAAATGGACGAATTCACAGGCTCAGTAGATTAACTGTATATGCCAACAGAAATTCAACCAGTTGGCACTTGAATCCTTCTGTAGGTTTGTGTTGTACATTTGCTTATGCTACAGATTGCATGTGTATCAACACTTGAACAAAATACCCTTGATTGAAAGACTGCCCCACCGTACGCAGACTATAGACACGAATACACACACAACATACACCACAGTTTGGCTCTATGCACACGCGTTTCCTCTCCACTAGCTATTGTCAAAGCAGAGTGCAGAGATAGAGGAAATGCAACAGACACCACAGTGATGAGCTTTTTTCCTGCCAACTAACATGCAGAATGGATTCGCTGAGGAGGGACTTTACTCGCTTTAAAATAATCCAGTCAGGTGCAAATATGACACTGCTGGTCTGCCTCATCAAATCCTCCCCCTCAGGCTTGTCACAACTCTTATGAAACCCATCAATAGCCTCAAAAACTCTGTATAATCAGCAGTTTTTAATGGTGTTACAAAGTGATATACAGTCAAGCAGTGTGCCCTCCATAAACAACAGTACCTCCAGCATTTTGCTTTTAGTGTAAGAGGTGATTTTATGGTTACAACACTAGTGTAGTCAGCCTCTGCTGTGATGTCATTCTTACCTCATGCGATAATGCAACTTGATACTGGTTTCATCTGTGACCTTGAATTCATAGTTGGGAGGGTACCATATTCCTGTCACCTCATTGTACAGAGCAAATAGGTTGTGGCACAAGGGAGAGATTGCTGAGAAAGGGAAGAGAAAAGAAATCAATATTCAGACCAAGTGTTAGACTGTGACCACTGATTTTCAGCCACTGTCCAAAGAGTAAGTGTAGAAGCAACGGCAAACTATATTCTCATAAAACTAAATAAAGAGAAGGATATACATGCGTTTAACACATCGACTGAAATGTAGGAGCCTGGATTGAGAGAATTCTTGTAAATGTCTATCATTAATGTAAGCCTTTAAACCCATGAAACTATTTTAATCTTGGCCCAGTTAACTAAAGTGAGACCACCCGGTAACATTACTAATGGCTGGGCACACTTCCTGTAAAGAGCCTCTGAAGTGGCACTTAGTTTAGCTTTACAGTAACTTGATTTGTAATGGGATATTATTGAGGGGAATTGTCAATTGTCTAACAGCCATGTTGTCCATATTGTTTAGAATCTAATACACTTTATTTCACACGCTGACAGCTTAATAGTTGCACTTAAAACTGCATTTAGATCATTTTCTTCTGATATATTTTTGTTGAAATATGCTTCAAAATGTATTTTAATGGGGGAATGTGCCGTTTAAAGGTACAGTGTGTAGAATTTTGTGATATCTAGTGTTGAGATTGCATGTTGCAGCTGAACACCCCTCACCTCACCCTCCCCTTCCAAAAGTGAAAAAGAAACTGTGTTAGCCTTGAGTTGTCAAAAAAACTCAAAACGTGTTTAGCCAATAGATCCCTTTCACCTTAATCCTACACACTGGACCTTTAAGTCAAGAGGGCCAGAGTAAGTGACGGGTGCTCATGGTCAATCAATCGATGGTTGACTTACAGGCTGGCAAGCTACTAATGCCAATATTGCTTATTCAGAATCATAATAAGAAATACCTTATTAATCCCCGTAGGGAAATTCAAATTGTAGCTTATTGTAAGGTGAGATGGTAATAAATGTTCAAATGGGTTGGCGATAACAGTGATCGATCTAGGACCAGGCACGGGGCATTGTTTAATGGTGGATATGAATGTGTCCATTTTAGAGCTGACCAACAGCAAAGCATTAAAAGTGGCGATGATGGATAAAACCTGGTTTGAAGAATATGGATGGACAAAATAAATTGGACACTTACTTGTAATTAACTGTAATGACAGTACATTTCACAATGCAGTGACAATGCCGTCACCACCGGCAACAAAAACACTAAGTCATAAAGCAAAGCATGACATTGTGCCAACATGTTACTCACAGCATTTCTTGGCAGCATCCACACAGAGTTCCTCAACAGTGAAGCATCCTTTGAAGTATTCAAGCTGGAGCTCTGGTGTGTAAAAGTGGATCTCCAAGCCCCAAGAGGAAGTAGGAGAAGAGGAGATTTGAGCCCTCTTGTTGGACTTCCTCATCTTTCCACAGAGTTGCCTGCTCAACTCCATTACCCCCCAAGTTGGCATTCAGACACTACATGAAGTAAGAGAATTCGGAGGAAAGGGGAAGGTTACTGGAAAGGGGAAGGTTACTGGAAATATGCTCACTGTCCTATTTCAAAATATATTGAACAAAGCACCATCCATACAGGGTCATTATTTAATTTTGTTTAAAGGTCATGACATTATAAAAAGAGATTATGCTTTTTTGACCAGTGGTTTATTAAATTGTGTAAATAAGTCCATGACTATGTGGATCAAGGATGAGTACTGCAGGGGACGTGTTTAACACATCAGCAAATGGGTCCATGAGATTATGAGGGACTCATTTGTTTGATAGAGTTCAGTAGGGATTTTATAGCTGTTATTTTCATAAAGGAAAATGTGTCAAGAGGAAATATTATTGAAACTGTGTAAAAAGGTATAAATATAAATGTAGTAAATGTCCAGCAGAAAGCCTGTTTAAACCTCAGTTTATAAATGGCACTTACTGTGTAAATGGGTGTACGCTGCGTAAGGCTATAGTATTGATTGTGTGCACTCTTAGTTCAATGATCATTAACCTGATGACTCGAACTGATACCGTTCAGAGCACATCATACATTTCACAAAAGAAGATTCAAATTATACAGTCTGTGGGAATACAAAATAAAAACATGTCCAGAAATTCATCTACTAACTAAATGCATTTACACACTAGCATGATATTGAAGACAGTGAAAAATATGCTGCATCCATATCCAGAGCCAAACAGTGACATACTTAACACCAACTATACCTCAACATCATCAGTTGTTTGTATGATGAACCCACAGTCAGAACATTGAAAAAACCATCACTGGTCTCAGACAGGATTTCCTTTTTGTTGTGTACCAAACGATACCTTTGTGTCTCTGTACCAAACAGACTACCTGAACTACCAGCTGATGTTAGACCAGTTTCACTTTTATAGGTGCCAAACTTTTCAGACCTGGGATTCACATACATCCTGACAGATCCAATCCCAAGTGGACACCTCCAAGTATGTAAATGCTAATGGTCTGTATTTATTTAGTGTTTTTCTAGTCTTGATTATATTTACTTTACCGTATTGTACTGGCACTGAACTAAGAATTCTACAGTTGAAAAAACATGAACAAGTGATTTTACTGAGACTTAGAGGCAAAAAATGTCAAAGCAGAATCTTAATTGCTTTTCATAAGGCGAGAACATGACCTTTTAATTTGTGTTAGTAATTTCAGCAAAATGTGCATCACTTGTCCTCTCCACAAAGCCACTGGCCCAATGTAACTGACTTAAGAAACTGTAGGCAAACAATAGGCTGATAAAACTTTACTGTCACAAAGGTCACTTGGGTTATTTCAAGAAAAGCCTACGTGAGCAGTAACCTAGAGCTCTGTGACGATCTATATCATGCTATGATGGTAAATACAGTTTCCTTTAACTGGAATGAGCATGCAGACTTAAAAATTGGAGAGATAAAAATATTAAACTTTGATCATCATATGTACACTGAACATTTCATATCATAGACCCATGTTTACATTGTTTCTCATTTACTTGTCATTTCTGCTAATTTAATGTTTCAACTGTCACTGTCTCCTTTGAAATATTTTATATTTGACTGGGTGGAAAAAAAAGGTACTGTAAGTGTTATAGGTAAAAAGCAAAATGCTTTGTATTATGTTTATAAGTCAGACATTTGTGCAACATGCAAATGCAGATTAAATGTATCTTTCAATGCCCTGATTGATTGATAGAATTAAATTGATGTAACAGGTAGGAGTGGTGCTACAGTTGTTGATGGATCTATGGTTATTCTCAAATGATCACAAATCAACTTATTAATTGGTATTACCAAAATGCCAGATTTTGTGAGAGTTGCACATATTTTCCCTTTCTTTCACATTCTATAAACACTCTATAAACACCTATATTTTGATTGTTGATTAATTTTCTTTAATATTTTTCAATAAATTCCCAAATATGCCGCTACCACTTTCTGTGAGTCTCTTAGAAAATAAAATTATTATTTTGGGGTTCAAAAACTCTTACTAACCTGACATTTCACAAAAACAAAATGAATGAATCAAGAAAACAACAGGTACATTAACTGACAGGGAAAATTATCATTAGCTCAAGTAGATTAAGTTATTTTAAAAGCAATCCTTGTTGGAGGCAGGGTCCCAGTGGTTTACCTGGTTTATCTACAGAGACAAAACTAACTTCCTTATAATGGTGTTGTATAATTGTATCCGTCTTCTTCTTCTTTATTGGCAGGTGGTAAACAACGTCAAGGTGCACTACTGCCGTCCACCCACTGTGTGTTTCAATATCCTACTTCTTCTTCCCCATTCAGTACTGTATCTCTTATTACCCTTGCTATCTGATAGCTCCCCCCCTCCTCTGTTCCATCTAGTGGCAGGTGGCAACCTATTGTTTACTGGTTAATCAGAGTTATATAGGCCATATTGAATTCTTCTCCAATCCTGTCTCCCTCAGATAATAGAGAATACTCCCTATTCCAATGTTAACTACTGTCTCATTATCCAACATGTTAACTACTGTCTCATTATCCAACATACTTATTGCAGTGAAGCATTACATGCTCCACTGACTCTAACTCTATTTTGACATAACCCTGTTGGGTGTGTGTCAATTAAGCGCAGTGTATTATTGAGTCTAGTATGTCCTAACCTCAGCCTGTAGTCAAAATGCACTTTGGTGCTCCTTTTTGCTGTCTTCACTTCCTGCTGTACTGCATAAAGATGTCATCCCTACGCTGCCAATCCTTAACAATGTTCTCTATGATTATTAACTTTGCTTCCGATTTACTAAGTGAAATCTCCACTCATGTTTTATTGTTTGCTTTGACAATGAATCCACCACTCCAATGCCCTTTAACCACTGCCTGCACATAAAAGTGGTCAAATTTTGAACTCTATACAGAGATTCAAATATCTCGTTCACTAAATCTTTATAA